TTTTTCTGTTACGATTTTTTTACAGCTACATATTAAAGCTTCCTCTCAAAAGGTCGTGGGATGCCGTTTTTGCAGGATCGGAAAAAGTCGGTAGCTGCAGTAGCGCATATAAATAATTCCCAGAGGTTCTTGTTTAAAGAGATGTTGAGGGTGTCGTTGTTTCCTCATCACTGCTTGGTTCGATAACAATTTTTGGTATCTTAAAAGTGACATTTTTAACAGATTCCATAGGCCGTTTGATTTTCTTTGATTTAGGATCAGTGACGAAAGCTGAAGCCAATACGATGGCAATTTCATTCGCGCGTGCTTTTTCAACCGCTTTTCGGGGTTCCAACACATACAGTTTTTCGTCCGAGTCCGAATCGGCGGTACTTTCTCCGGACAGTGAGCTAAATGAAATCTGTTTTCGATCATTAAATCCCTCAAATCGTGGTGAAGTGCGACCAAAGATTTCTCTCATTCTGCTGAGATAAGGCTGAAATAATTCAGAATATGGTTGATCATCAATACAATTTTTTAAAGAATAGGTTATTAAATTTTCAAGGCATTTCGTAAACAGTACGATGAATTGACATACAGTGCAAGGCAGTTGTGCTCCGCGTCTAAGAATCTCTTTGTGCAGATCCGACGCATATTTTGGCTGCTTCTCAGCCTCGCTTCTTGTCGGCGGCCCTTCTACAATGTGCTGCAAGCTTCCATAAACTGCAGTGTGTCTGCCAGCATCTTTCTTAATCTGAATTTATGCTGCATTTTATAAAATTTCTCTTACAAAACAGTTTAGCTGTTGAAAGCGGGAAATATTTCTGATCATGAACTGATGAGACACAAGTGAAGAACGAAAAGCCGTCACTTGCGAAAATCTTTCTTGTAACTCTAGCAAAAATCGTGGTATACAATACGGAATTTCACCAAAATTTGGTTGAACTGTACCTGGTCTAGCTGACTTGCATTGGATGAATAAAATTTTCTGAAAAATTTTGGATTGCGAAACGACGCGAATAGCTTTGAAGGGTTGCGCAGAAATGCTTTGAATCCTTTTTTCGGTTTAACCTGAATTAGAAGGCCAATTGCAATGGCGCATTTAACACATGCTCATCATGCACATGGCGGGTAAGATGCTGTACTGATGATTCCCACTCCTATCCGCATGCTGCGTTCGGTCTGTG